ACACGCAGATTGAATGGATAACATGCAATCACCTAGAGAACTAACCAAAGAGAGAAAGAGGAAGCACACTACTGTTCTATCTGTTCTCATTCTTTGACCAAGCATACTTACTCTAGGCTCAGTGTGTGAAAAGCCACATGTAAATGGGCAAGAGGTTTTTGACACACAGTGTGTGAAGTACTGTGAAAATATATTTGGCTTTATTTAAAGTAGCCAATGAGCACGTCTAGTTTAGGAACCTTGTTTTGTTTTGTTTTGTTTTTCTTATTGTGAGACATGATCTCATGTAGCCCTGGCTCACCTGGAACTTGCTGTATAGCCAAGAGTGACCTAGAACCAGACATGGTGTTCCTGCCTCAGCCTCCAAAGCACTAGGATTACAGATGTGCATTGCCCAGCTGATTTAGGGATCCTTAAGCTCCATATCTGGACTTGAGAAAATCTGAGAATTCCTTAAAATTTGATGCAAGTTTTGTGAGTATATACATATGTCTTAGAACTTTTGTCATTCTTCAGAGTGTGAAGAATCTCAGACCTGGTTTTATTAAGAAACTTAAATTTCAGGGAAAACAGATATGGAAAAAAATAAACAGAATAGAGGTGCTGCCGTGTGCTTGTAGTGTAGAGCGTAGGCAGAGTGTCTCCTGTGAAAAGATGTCAGCCCTTAAAAGACAGAGGCAGGAGGATTGCAGTGAGTCTCAGCACAAATGAAAGTGTGTATTGCTTCATTTCTTTCCTACATGGAAAGTTGGTTTGGTTTTTGTTTTCCGTAAGAGACAGGGACTATCCATGTCACCCAGGCCACCTCCCTGGGCACAGGTGTTCCTCCACCTCAGCCTCCCACAGCCAGAGCTGCAGGAGTGTGCCACCACACTCCGCTCATGTTTAATGCTTTTTAAGACAGTTTTACCATATAGCCATGCTACCCTCAACTCACAGTTCCCCTGCCTTAGCCTCCCTTGTGCTAGGGCTCCAGGAGTGTGCCTCTCTGCCTGCTTTCCCTGTTAGTTTCCAGGTGGTCTAAAGCTGAGCACTCACTACTTGAGGTAATCCTGTGCCAGATGTTACCAGATGGGGCTAGAGAGATAGCTCAGTGAAGCGTGCTCGCTGTTCTTCCCAAGGACTGCAATTGGGTCCCAGAACCCATGTGTGGTTTCTCACACCCTCCTGTGACTCCAGCTCACAGGATCCAATGCCCTCTTCTGGCCTCCAAAAAACATCTACACTCATGTGGCATACACACACAGACACATAGCACAAGTGCACACACACAGACACACTCACACATAAATAAAAATAAACTTTCAAAGTCACCAGGTTAACTGAGCCTCCATGCTCAGGCCCACTTATTGTTTCAGGAACCTGCTGTCCTGACCTCTGGAGGCCATATTTACTATGGAGGCCATATTTACTATGCCGTTGTGCTTTGTGTCTGGACCATCACTCATGGTCCAGACACAAAGAGAGATCGTGACTACATACTGAGCGCATGTGGTGTGGCAAGTTTAAGGAGCCCTATCACCCAACAATGGAAACACTGGATGGGACTTTCACTCTGGTCCACCAGTGATCATATTACCAGAGAATCATTGATACTTGATGCTAAAATTCTATCTCTAATCCTAATCTCTTTCCAAACTTTACATTCAGAAAAAATACCAAGAATAGAAGCCTTCAGGTTTTCAGGTTTTTTTTTTTTTGTTTTTTTTTTTTTTCAAAGTTCTCCTGGCTCTTGTGTTGATCTCTTCTGCCCAAATCTATGGTTCCAAGAGACCCCAGCTCCCATTCCTAATTCTCCTGTGGCTGTCACTGTCCCTTCACTTCCCTGTTTGTTCCCTTTGGTGTTCAATGTGACAGTCATGCTAAGTTGTACTAAGTCACCTCTAGCTTTTTACCTGTAATAGTTAACCAATTGTGCTACATTTGTAGGAAATGGCCTTGTTTAAGGAGGTGAAGTCTCTCCAGCTCATCCCGTCCTACTTGGTGCAGCCGCTGAAGGCCAATGCTTCTGTTCATCTGGCAATGAGCCAAGTGGACCTTCTGGCCCGGCTGCTGAGAGACCTGGGCACTGGGAACTCAGGTTTCACCGTGGACAATGTGATGAAGGTGAGCCAGCCTCATGTGGCATGACACTGGCCCCAGCACCACAGCTTAGAGCAGGGCTGTCTAGTCAGTGACTGAGGCAGTGAGCATGCGGGAACATCTGGGTCTTCCTGCTATTTCCTCACTAATTAGTAAGAGCATAGAATGCACAGGACACTGTTCACAGTGGGGAGCAAGCATAAAACCCCAGGTTCAATCTGCAACACGGCATACACGAGGCTGTACACTCCTGTAATCCCAGCATGTAGGAGGTAGAGGCAGGAGAATCAGAAGTTCAAGATTATCATTGACTACATCATGAGTTTGAGGCCAGCCTGGGCTACATAAGATGGTTTCTCAAAAAACCTAAAAAACAAAAAACTTCTAATGTGTAGCTCGAGTTTTTCTGCCTGGCCCACAGTCAGGACAAATCTCTGTCACCCGCCAGTCCCACAGCCGCTCAGACCCAACCAAGTAAACACAGAGACTTATATTGTTTAAACTGTTTGGCATAATGGCTCAGGCTTCTAGCTCTCTAGTTCTTATATCTTAAATTAATTCATTTCTATAAATCTATACTTTGCCACATGGCTCGTGGCTTACCAGCATCTTCACATGCTACTTGTCATGGCAGTGGCTGGCAGTGTCTCCCTCACTCGGCCTTCCACTTCCCAGAATTCTCCTCTCTCCTTATCCTGCCTACTTCCTGCCTGGCCACTGGCCAATCAGTGTTTTATTTATTGACCAATCAGAACAATTTGATATACAGACCATCCCATAGCACTAATGGAAGTCTTTATGGTCCAGCCTTAAAATCTTTCTCCCAGAGACCAAGAGATAAACTATTTCTAAGGGTTGTGGGATGAGTCTACTCATAATATGCTTTTTCTATCCATGTCTCTTTATTCTCTCCTTCTTCTCTAAATCTACAGTTTTTTTTTTAAAGATTTATTTATTTATTTATTATATATACAGTGTTCTGCCTGCATGTGTCCTTGCAAGCCAGAAGAGGGCACCAGATCTCATTACAGATGGTTGTGAGCCACCATGTGGTTGCTGGGAATTGAACTCAGGACCTCCGGAAGAGCAGTCAGTGCTCTTAACCACTGAGCCATCTCTCCAGCCCCGATCTACAGTTTCTTTTCAGCTCTCATTCTTAGCTCTCTCTTGCCTGACTATCCACACATTTCTAACTCCTTGCAATCCTGAGAAAAGTTTCAAAACCCTCAAGGACATAGCACATTCCTAGGATAGACGATAACAAGCAGAACCATTACCATGGTAGCGCAAGGTTCCAAGATCTGAGGACCAGAGTTGGGGAGCGCAGTGCCCAGCACAGCAAACTGTGAGACAGCGTTTACCAGCAGACTTGGCGAGCGAAGAACTGGCAGGCTTTTCTTAGGGTGTTTTGTGTTAGTAACCTTGGTAGACATCTGCGACTCTGACCTTGTGCATAACTGTAAAGTTTTAAACTTATGATCTATTTATAAAGGCCTTTAGTCTAGTTTGAACTTGCTCTGAAATAAAAATGAGCTAAATGCATGCAGTTTATGTTAGACTGAGGAGATTTTTTGTTTTTGTTTTTGTTTTTTGTTTTTGTTTTTGTTTTTGTTAGTCTGAGTAAAAGGAACAAAGCAGACTTTAAGTGTCTACAGTCTCATGGGATAATAGATATGGCTATGAAGTATATCCTAGTATATTTTCTATATATCAAAATTATATGCCAGGTAGTGGTGGCACACGCCTTTAATCCCAGCACTTGGGTGGCAGAGACAGGCACATCTCTGTGAGTTTGAGGCCAGCCTGATCTACAGAGTGAGTTCCAGGGCAGCCAGGACTGCTTCACAGAGAAACACTGTCTTGAAAAAATGAACAAACAATTATATAGCTAAATGAAAAGTCATTTTCCTGACAACCTATAGATATATGGGCCCATAAGATTTAGATGTAATCAAAAGATTACAAATACACGTTTCATGAAAATACATGGTAATGGGGAGATATCATTGCATAAGAAATTACAGATGAAAGCAACAGTATTCAGAGTTGGTGGCCTGCAAGCCTGGCTCGACAGGTTAGCCCACCAGAGAACATTCCACTGGTGGGTTGACATCTGAATTATCAGTTGCTATAAACTGTAATTGCATCATGCCCCACAATAGCTCATGACAGTGATCTCTGACAAACTTCTTTGCCTAAAATACAGAATATAAACCATGCCTATCTTGGTCTCCTGCCTGGATCACTGCCAGACACTTGTTTCATGGCTGAGCTCCGCTGTCCATGGTACAGGACACCCCTAGTGTGTGTGGCTCAAGTCTGAAGTGAAACAGAATAAACCAGTGAGACACTGATGGCTGCCATCACATTCAGCTCCACCTGATGATGCAAAGGAAAGGAAAAGAGCAGTGCAGGGATGATTGCAGGAATGGATGAACAGGGTCAGGGCAATGCTGTGCAATGTAGACTGGATGCTGAGGCAGGGAGGCTCCAGGGAAGGGCAAACCAACGTCTCTGATGTAAGAGTACATGAAACAGACTGGAAGGAGCAGAGGACCCAGTGTGGGAGCCTGATGGTGATGGCGAACAAGCAGGTGTAGGGTAGAACCTAAGAGTGGGGCTCAGGCTGAGCCCTTCAGAAGTGTGGGAAATGAGAGGCCCAGTGTCCAGAGCCACTGGGGAGGCATTGACCTCTAACATGGCAATGCCAGCCCAGACCTGGGTAGTGCATTGTGACATGATTGTATGACGGCACCATAGTGCAGTTAAAATGAAAGACATAGGCAGTGGTTCTCAACCTTCCTAATGCTGCAACCCTAGAATACAGCTCCTCATGTTGTGGTGACCCCAACCATAACATTATTTTCATTGCTACTTCATAACTAATTTTGCTACTGTTATGAATTGTAAATATCTGTGTTTTCTGATGGTCTTTGGGGGTCGTGACCCACAAGTTGGGAACCACTGACATAAGGTGAGTAAGCTCAGGATCTGGAAAGCATGGTACTGAGCACTGGTGGAACAGAAGACACAGTGTGCATGTAGAGGTCAAAGGATAACTTGTAAGAGTCAGCTCTCTCCTTCTACTGTGGGTCCCAAGGCTAGGACTGAGTCAGGCTTGGTGGCAAGTACCTTTACTGACTGAGCCATCTCGCCAATATGTTTTGGTGCTGTGTACAATTACAATGCTAGGGACAGAACATGTGGATATGTTAGACAGGTGCTCCTAACACTGGCTGCATCCCCAGCACCCTGCTCATAATGTTAAAATGACAAAGCTGCACAAACAGACGCACTATGCAAAGTGACAGCCTGTGGCAGCAGCACACATCAGCTGCAGACGAATGGGAACCTCAGGCAGGGGAAGAAAACAGCCTGGGGAGATGGACAGGGTACAGGAGAGCCAGACAAACAAAAATCCCATAGAGGTGTTACCCTACTTGACATAGATGCTGCGTCCCTGTGGTTTGTGTTAGTCCCCTGTATATGTGGAGTATTTCATGATGTTAAGTGTGGATGGATGGAAGTTAAAGAGTGCTTCATAGCACACTAGAAGTAAAAGCAAAGCATAGCTCTGAACTTAGTGTGCTATGTGCCAGCATGTTGAAGGGATCTGTGGGTATGTGGCTCCCTCTGCTCTTGTCTCCTCATTGCCTTGTCTTTATTTTCCAAGTCTTTGCAGTACCCCATCGGTCACTTTTGTGCTGGGAGAAGTTAACTTTGTTGTTAGAAAATCAGTAGCAGAGCTGAGACTGCTTTCTTTGCAGTTTGCACTGAGCGCCCTGGAGCACAGGGTGTATGAGGTGCGAGAGACAGCAGTCAAAATCATCCTGGACATGTACAGACAGCACCCAGCCCTCACCCTGGAGCACCTTCCTCCAGAAGACAGCAGCACACGCAAGAACCTTCTCTACAAAGCCATTTTTGAGGGATTTGCTAAGATAGATGGCAGACCAACGGAGGCTGAAGTCAGGGTAAGTTGGTGTTCATGAGTCGATGAAACTGCAGTCTGTGTTTAAGAAGTGACCTGGAACATGGACCAGCCTTGCTGACTCTTGCCTGTGATCTCAGCACTGGGAGGCTGAGCTAAGAGAATGCTGTGAATACAGGACAGGCTGGGCAAGGGAGAGAGAGAAATAGCAGTGCTACTTTGAGACATAATGGACGGCCAGTGTCTTTCCTAAGGAGCCCCATGTGGAGAAGCACAGTCTGTAATAAGAAGCAGGTCCCTGAGCCAGGCCCTGGCCTGTCCTTGTCCATGTCCTGCCTGTGAGCTGTGAGACTATCATCCCCTGTCTGGGAAGAGCAGTATTAGTGATGCACAAACCTTTAGTAAATCACTGAAGAATTTAATATGAGTTACAGTCATCCAAGTTGATGCTATAATTTGTTTCCCAATGTCTGAAGCTACCCTCAGAAAGTTCTTCTAATGGGGAAAAATGGTTTTTTAACCAGGCCCAGAAGAGAGCAGCCACAAAGGAAGCAGAAAAACAGAAGAAAGAGGAGATGAAGGCTCTGCAGGGCCAGTTGGCCGCTCTGAGAGAGACCCAAGCTGGAGCCCAGGTCAGAATGTCGCCTGAGTGGGGGGGATGCAGAGGGTGGCTTTACTTTCTTTTGTTTGGTTGGTTGGGGCACAAATAAAAGAAGGCCTGCACCAGGCCCATGGTGTCCCATGTCAGTCACTAGCCAGTGCTGCTGCTGCTGTGAGGCTTGAGGGAAAGTTCTTCTGCCTACCCTCAAGATGGCTCAGGGGGTCTTTACTGCCAAACCTGATGAGCTGAGTTTTCCAGGGACCCGCATGATAGAAGAACTACTAACTCCATAAAGTGGTCCCCTGACCTCTGTACTTGACTGTGATGTGCATGTGCTACTGCCCCCATAGACACAGTTAAAGTAATTTTAAAATGTAAGAAGAGGGCAGAGGTCTTAAGAAGGCCCACAGTCCCAAGTGCAAAGTTCAGCCTTTTAAGGCACACTTGGAGCCTGCCTCCAAGCTCCTCACCCCTATGGCCACGGCTACTACACAAACTCCGTGGGTGCTGTGAAGTGGGCAGAGGTCTCCCGTGCTGCTCTCACCCAAACGGGAAGAACAAGTCGAGAAGCAGAAAACACATCTACAAATACATTTGCCCCAAAAGGGCTGAAGGTCTCTAGACCTTCCCACCAAAGGCCAGTGGGAGACGGGCAGTAAGGGAAGGAGGAAGCAGGGCAGCCTGGAGGAAGCTGGCCACGGCCTTTCCCCTGGCAGAGACTGCGATGCCTCCTGGACCACGGTGGCAGGATGGTAGCCACCAGGGGGGTGCAGTCCGTGCTGAGTGGTTTCCCTGCTAGTTTACAGGTGTGGCTAACTAGAGGCTCACTCCAGGTCACAAGCTAGCTAGGACACAGCCAGGTGTCTGCTGCCCGCCATACCTGTGTTGGTGGGGCTGTGGTCACTTGACTAATAGAAATGAAAGTCACCTGTGGAGGAGATTGGTAGCCTTGGTGTATGTGTGTCTATGGAATGGCGGAACTAAGGGGCTTAAACAGAGCAGGAGGAAATGCTGGAGTTGTGTTGTTGTTGATTTAACATGGAGTCTCACAGTGTAGCTGAGGCTACCCTAGAACTCATCAAGTAGCTCAGGCTGGCCTCAGATTTGTCACCTTCTTGCTTCTGCTTAACAGGTACCAACATCACAAGTGCTCACCACCAGGTTTGGCTTGAAAAGATTGCTGATGACTCTTTCATAGTTGTGTGGAGCTGAGTGACTATAATTACAGCACTGAAGAAGCTGAGGCAGGAGGATTGCGATATTGAGGCTAGCCTGGCCTGCATAGATGAGACTGTCACAGATAGATGGATAGATGGATAGATAGATAATAGGTAGGTGGGTAGATAGATAGATAGATAGATAGATAGATAGATAGATAGATAGATAGATAATAGCTAGATAGGTAGATAGATACATAGATACGTAATAGGTAGGTAGGTAGATAGGCAGACAGATGGGACTGTCATAAATAAATAAATAAATAAATAAATAAATAAATAAATAAATAAATAAATAAATAAATAAATAAATAAATAGGAAAAACATGAATTCTGTTATTCTTTGGTGGAAATATCAAACAAATCCAGACATGTACTTTGAGGATGGTGCATCCTGGGTATATTGCAGCTCCCAGCCGCAGTTCGCTCCTGACTATTTCTGTCTTTGTGTCTTAGGAGAATGACGCTATGAAGCTCAAGAATCAAGGTGAGCAAATTCCAATCAGGGCAACTCAACAATGAAATCACTTCCTTTGTCAAGCACATACCTTTAATCCCAGCACTCAGTGACTGGGGATCTCTTGTGAGTTTGAGGCCACTCTAGGCTACATAACTTTCAAGCCAGCAGGGCTGCATTGTGAGACTCTGTCTCAAAACAAAACAAAATCACTTCCTTTAACAGACCTAGTGTCATACATATGAGCTAGGGAATGACAGATGAGGCAGGAGGATGGTGAGTGTCTTAGTTACTTTTCTGTTGTGCTAAGATGTCATAACCAAGGCACCTTGTAGAAAAAAACGTTTATGTGGGTCTTGCAGTTTCAGAGGGTGAGCCCATGACTGTCATGGCAGGAGCATGGCAGCAGTCAGCAGGCATGGTGCTGAAGCAGTAGCTGAGAGCTCATATGATCCACAGGCACATGACACAGAGAGAGTGAGATGCTGGGAGTGGCATGGGCTTTTGAAACTTCGAAGTTTGCCCCCAGTGACACACCTCCTCCAACAAGGCCACACCTCCTAATCCCTCCCAAACAGTTCCACCAACTGGGGACCAAGTGTGCAAACCTGAGCCTGTTCTCACTCAGAGCACTGCAGCAAGTGTGAGGCCACTCCAACCTACATAGCAAGACCTTGGCCACACACCAGGGCTGCAGCGTAGCACATGACAGCAGTGCTTTCCTGGGGTGTGCAAGGCCCAGATTTGACTCCTAAGAAAAAGAAAGAAGCTGCTTCTCTTGACTCTGCAGCCCTAACTGGATACAGACTGTGTGTACACTTTACCGCTGAGTTCATAATAAAACAAAATGACATTTTTTTAAATTACTACTTTTTGCTGAAACTTTAAACATTTCAACCAAACATTATTTAAATTGTGCTTTTTTAATCTGCTCAGACCCTCAAGGAAGGAAAGCTGCCCCACCTGAGACTCCAGAAATCCCAGACAACCACTATTTGGATAAGTGAGTAATGCCACCTGTGTCTGTTGCATGGGGGCCATGAAGAGGCCCTGGGCATGCATCTCCTCCCTGGCTCACTGTGACTCTCCGTCTCTGGACTCCTCTTCCTGATTCTAAAGCCTGGAAACTGCCCTAAGCCACACCACACTGCCTTGGGCCCACCACAGCCGCAGCCCTGTCTTTGCCCCACAGCAGTTGCCGTGGACATCCTGTCCACGAGCAGGTCCAATCTGTAAGGGCCTGGGCTGTCCTCTAGCTCTTCCGTGACTTATGCCAGCTGTTTGGTAAGGTCCTTTCTCCAGGCATTATGCATGGACCCTGAGCCCTGCTATCCTCCCCAAGAGGTGCAGTCTGCCCTCAGAGCACCAGGCATTTCAGGACAGGAGGAGTCTGGGGAGTCCTGAGTCTAATGCAGTGGGGGTTGAGTGGTCATGGTAGCCAGAGCGTGGCTTTCACTTCCAGCTTTTCTACTTCATTGTAGTCTGTGCATCTTTTGTGGGGAGAGGAATGAGTCCTTCACAGAAGAGGGTCTGGACCTGCACTACTGGAAACACTGCCTCATGCTGACGAGATGTGACCACTGCAGGCAGGTCAGGTGCTGGGCATGGGCTATGGCCACTCACAGGTAACTACTGCAGGCAGGTCAGGTGCTGGGCATGGGCTATGGCCACTCACAGGTAACTACTGCAAGCAAGTCAGGTGCTGAGCACTAGGATACCTAGGTGTTGACAAAAAGACCAAAGCATGGGTAACCCAGATCTTTGAAGCTTCAAAGGGAAAGTCGTGAGGAAAGCACAGTCCATGCTGTGGCCCAGAGGAACTGACTCTGTCAGCCACTGTCTCTACCACCCTCAACTCAAGCTATCTCCATTCCACTTCGATGGTATTCACAGCATTGTTGCTTGGACTTGTGTAAGTGGAGTGCTGCAGTGTGGGCCCATGCTCTCCTGTGTCCGTTTGCCTACTGCCATGTCTGTGCATAGACCATAATTGATTCATAACGCTTGACTGTTCCAGTTTGGGACTGCTGGGAATAGCTCTGCTGCTGGCAGTCTCCTGGGAAACATAAAGAAACACCCATTGTCCCCAGCCAGGACGCTAATTTGGATGTTCCAAGTCCGACTTACCAGTTAATTTATTAGTTACTCATGGCTGCAGCACTGAAAAGTGTTCCCACTCCCCAGCCCTCAGTCAAGCTTCCACTTACTGTCTACTGCACAGTACACAAGACCGTGTGTGGCTGACGTGAGACCAGGGATAGTGAGTGGAGCCTCTGGATGGTAACAGCTCCATGACCATCAACCAGACCTATTGATCATGATGGTCATTTCTTATTTCACTGTTATAAATGTGGGGCCAAGGTACTCTGTAGGTCACCACAGTCTCTGCCCCTTGGGGCCAGTCGTTACATTAAGCCCAGAGGAAAGAGCTGCACTACCACACCACATCCTCCAAGGCTTGCCTTCTTTCTGCCTGCTTCTGCTGTGTTCTCGGAGCTTGTGGGGTAATACAGAATATTACCACTGTTAGGTGGAAACTGCAACCAACAATTTACACCAACACAAGAAAGCAAAGAAATATGTTCACCCTCAATCAACAGAGGCCAGGACACAAGGGCACTGGGGTCATGTCGGGCTGAATGAAGCCAGTGGCTGGTTCATAGACGCCATCTGTGGCACCGGTTCCGTGAACTTGTCTCTTCTGGGCAGTTGAACTTCCCTTTTTGTTCCCTTACGTGGCTCAGCAGACTCTGGGACAAGGTTGTAGGGTAAAAACAGTGCTTTCCCACCTAACCAAGGCTCAAAGAGAGTAAGTTCAGTGAGAAGATGTTTTTGAGTTAACAGCTGTATTAAGTTTGTCCTTCTACATGTCACAGCAGCAGATGTGTATCCTCAGCATTTAGGCCCATTAGGATTCTCTGAAGTAACTGGTACTGTTACAAATAGAAGTGCCCTTGACCACAGCTCACAGTAGCAGTAATCTAGAGACATAAGCACAAATGCTCGGAAGACACTATGACAGACGTATCATTTGAGAAAACAGTAGCAGTAGCCTCCCCACTGGGGCCCATGACCTCATCACTATGGGTCTTTGTTGGCTTACCTGAGTTCTCTGCTGTAGAGTGGGGTTTAACCCTATCAGAAAACTGTTGGCTGTACCATAGAACTTGGGCTGCTGTTGCACCAGCAGGACCTGGCATGTTGTAGCGTAGAAAGCAGAGTTTATAGCTGTGCAGGACCTTTGTGACAGTCCTTCCCAGTGGCCTGCATAGCACTTTCTGGCACTACCTTAGCCAGCCAATGGGGAGGATCCTAGCTGGATTCCTCCATGTCTTCTACTACAGCATGTAGTGTCCTTAGCAGTAGGGACTTAGCACATGCTTCTGGCATGCAGCCAACAGTGTGTGTGGTTCAGGTGGCCTAAAGGGGCCTCCTGGTCTACAGATTGGGGGCAGGGGGTAGCCCACCCAGAGCACTGAGGTTTTCCACCAGGAGCCTTATGGTTCCTGCGACAGGGTGTCTTCTGCTTTTAAACCCTTTCCCTGCTTATTTGACTGCTGGTACAATGCCTTCCTAGGTCTGTTAGAAGGCTATAATGAGACCTTTCTACAGAGTAGGCAGGTCTCTGAAGGCCTCTTGGAAAGAAGTTGGAGTGGTTTCCACCCCATGAGCGTTCATTCCTCCACAGAAGTGGGGAAAGGATCAGCAGCACCTCCTTGTCATCTGTCCTGCAGAGGCCCATGGGCATTGTGACACTGTCTGGTCCTCTGTCCTGCAGAGGCCCATGGGCATTTTCTGCCCTCCATCCTGCAGAGGCCCATGGGCATTTTCTGCCCTCCATCCTACAGAGGCTCATGGGCATTGTCTGGCCCTCCATCTCCAGCAAGTAGCCAGGTGATGTGCACCACTGTGGCCTGCTTCCAGTCTTGTCCCCTGTGTGCTGCTTAAAGGCATGTACTATGTTCTCTGATTGAGTGCCATTCTCAGGACCTCCTATAAAAAGGTGTCCCATCCTCCACCACACAAGCACAGGCATATTGAGATTCCCCTGTGGATGTTCCAGCCTTACATGGCTCAGCCTCAGTTGCAGATGCTCCTCTTATAACCTGTAGCAGGCAATGCAGCTGCTTCTCCCAGACTCTTTTTTGGCTCTCTCATGTCTATAGCTCTGATGTGCTCTGTGGATTTTCCTGTGGAGACATACAGAACATCTGTTCCCCCCAATAGAATACCAACAAACAGAACAAAGAGACGGTTCTGCCTGGCGTGGTGAGCCAGTGAGTTTCCTGAGGCTGCTCATGGCAGCTGGCACAGCTCACAGAGCTGTGTCAGTGGACCTTCCACCTCTATGTACTACTCTAGGGCCTCCTCAGGATGACCTCAGGAGTGGTGAGCGGAGTCTCAGGCAAGGGCTGCAGCTCCATCCGCTACCATGTATAGGGCTATTGGTATATTGTTTTGCATAATTTCATTGCCATAACTCTGGGTTCAAGATCAGCACAGCATTCTCTGCTCTACAATGGCCATGATCAGGTTAATCATGGAGTATCGATATGACCACAGCACTGGGCCACATGTCTAGCCTGGTCCTGTTGTACAGACTTTTTCTACTGGACTAGTATCCAGAGATACTGCAGAGTCCTGGCCACCTTACAGCTCACAGCAGAGAGAGAGCACTTCTGTTCTCACATGCTGCACACTGCCTGTGACTGAGGTGGGCGCCCTTTGTCCACTGGTCAGTGGCCATCTTTGCTAGGTGCCTTTCTGTTGTCACCTTGTCCATCTGGATATAACCATCTGTCCATTAGATGCGATGGGCCTGCCCGTCTTCTCTCCTTCTCAGCCATGTCTGTCTTTTCATTGTCTCCACATGTCTTTGGAATGGAAATCTATAGTTGGACTTTCCTTTGGGCTGCCAGCTCACAAATAATGACACTGAAACTTGTTAATTATGAAAGCTTGACCATTAGTTTAGGCTTGTCATACTAACTCTTATAACTTAAATTAACCCATATTTTTATTAATCTATATTCTACCACATGGCTTTTACTTCTCTCACATTCTGTGTGTCCAACTCATTCTGCGTCTCAATGGTGTCTCCTGCACGCCTCAATTATCTCCTCTTCCTCTCTCTGCCCAGAAGTCCCGCCTGTACCTCCCACCTAGCTATTGGCCATTCAGCTTTTTATTACACCAATCACAGCAATACATCTTCACACATTGTACAAATATCCCACAACATCCCCGACTTTTGTCTAAATAAAAAGGAAAGATTTTAATTCTAATACAATAAAATTATACACAATGACAATTATCGAGAAAGAAATACATTTACAATGTCCAGTCTTTTTGTATTTGGCAAATTTGGAGAAATTCCT